CACCTCACCTCACCTCACCTCACCTCACCTCACTCACTCACTCACTCACCGGTCTCCCTTGGTCTCCGCCGATGTACGCCCTGGCATCCCTCGGGCGTCCCTCCGGCGTCCCTTGGTCTCCGCCGCTTTTGCGTGGCAGGCGTGGGACAATGTGCACTGCCAAGGGGTCGGATGTACGCCCTTGCGTCGCTTTTGCGTGGCAGGCGTGGGACAATTTGCACTGCCAAGGGGTCGGATGTGCGCCCCGGCGTCCCTCCGGCGTCCCTCCGGCGTCCCTCCGGCGTCCCTCCGGCGTCCCTCCGGGGTCCCTTGGTCTCCGCCCTTTTTGCGTGGCAGGCGTGGGGATGTACGCCCTGGCGTCCCTCTGGCGTCCCTCCGGTGTTGTCCCTTGGTCTCCGCCGCTTTTGCGTGGCAGGCGTGGGGCAATGTGCACTGCCAAGGGGGGCTAACATACATAGGGCCAACATAGAGCCAACATAAGCCAACATAGGCCCAACATGGAGCCAAGATAGGCCCAAGATGGGCCCAACCTGGCCCAACATGGACCCAAGGGCGGCCCTTCAATCCGGGATGGTCTCAGATATCGCCAACATAGCCTCAACATGAGCGCAACATGCTCCCTACACTGACTTCAGGCCTTTTCTCTGCCAGCGCCCGGCTGTCAGGCGTAAAGTTTTTGGAGGGGTCCGGGAAGGAAAGATTGGCATCTTGGACATCTTTCAACAGAGATGGTCTCACATATCGCCAACATAGCCTCAACATAGGCCCCAAGATGGGCCGACATGGGGCCAACATAGGGCCAACATAGGAGCAAGACAGGGCCAACCAACATAGGCCAAGATAGGGCTAACATAGGCCAACATAGTGCCAATATAGAGCCAACATGGGCCAACATAGGCCCAAGATGGGCCCAACCTGGCCCAACATGGACCCAAGGGCGGCCCTTCAATCCGGGATGGTCTAAGACTCTAAGATATCGCCAACATAGATTCAACATGAGCGCAACATGCTCCTACACTGACTTTTCTCTGCCGGCGCCCGGCTGTCACGCGTAAGCCCTTAAATTCGGGTGCCGGCCCCGTGTGCTGCCCGGAAGGCCTTCGGTGGTAACCGAAGGTTATATATGCTGGCCCTGCCGCCGACCCACCTCCGACTACCGCCGACCCACACTTGGCGAAAGTAAAAAACGTGGTTTTTATCTTGTTTATCGTTCTGCGGAGGGGTCCGGGAAAGACAAATTGGCATGTTGGAATTCTTTCAACAGAGATGGTCTCACATATGGCCAACATCAGGTTCCAATCTGAACTCATAGGCCGACATAGGGCCAACATAGGGCCAACGCAGGGCCAAGACAGGGCCAACATAGGCCAAGATAGGGCTAACATAGGCCAACATAGGGCCAACATAAGGCCCAAGATAGGCCCGGGGGCGTAGCCCTTCAATCCGGGATGGTCTAAGATATCGCCACCATAGCTTCCACCTGCACGCAAGATGCTCCCAACACTGCCTTCCGGCCGTTTCTCTGCCGGCGCCCGGCTGTCAGGCGTAAGCCCTTAAATCCGGGCGCCGACATAGAGCCAACATAGGACAACATAGGCCCAACATGGGCCCAAGATAGGCCCAAGATGGGCCCAACCTGGCCCAACATGGACCCAAGGGCGGCCCTTCAATCCGGGATGGTCTAAGATATCGCCAGCATAGCCTCAACATGAGCGCAGCATGCTCCCTACACTGACTTCAGGCCGTTTCTCTGCCGGCGCCCGGCTGTTAGGCGTAAGCCCTCAAATTTTGAGCTGAGCCTGGTATGTCTGGTGATGTCTGATGTGTCACGTTGTGTGGCAGTGTGTTTGGTTGCAGTGTGTGGTGATGTGTGGTGCTGTGGCCTGCTGTATTGTCCCACGACATGCTACGTTGTGCAGACTGTGGCTTTCGGTTGTCACCGTTGGTGAGAACCCTTGCTTCTGAATGACTTAGTGACTATAGTGGAGTTGACAACACTGAGAACAGCCCGAGTTCTTTGTTTGGACCCTGGGCCTTTTCAGCATATTGGCTCTAGACTCGAGCTAGTGAATATGATTGAATAAATATTGAATATGTATGCAAGAAGCAAATGTCCGCCTCTGTGATCCTGACGGACCAGTCTTGCCGGCCTATAACTTGGAGGAAACAAAACTGTCCCGCCGGTTTCGAATATCTTCTGCGTGTGAATCTGTAGATTAGATCTCACTACGTTCAACAAAATCCGTTGAATTCTTTTTGGCTATCTTGCGTTTCTTTCAATTTGTTCGGGTCTGCCACCTGATCTGCCCAATTCCACTATCTGGAAAGAGGAACTGCATGTTAGGATGAGCCTTGGTGGAAAGCGACTGTGAATGGGGATGGCGTTTCAGTACAGATTGTGATACAGTATTTGGGAAAACTGTCAGGAGGAACAAGTGCCGATCTTGGTGCAACCTGGATGCAACTTCACCGCAGTCCCAAATTTGCATCCTTGTGCCATTGCCTGAATTTACACCACCAAGGTATTGAATCAAGCACAAGCCATGCATCAAAATGCAAATGTGTTAGCTTCTTGCAAACGTGTGCAAAGCAAGTGGTTGAGTGCAATCAATGCGCCAATCACAGACCAAGATGCTTTTAATTCCAGAGTCAACATCAAGGCACTTGTTGGGATAGTCAAGCCATCGAATTTGAGCTGTGGAATCGTTGTTGAGAATAAACCGTGTGGCATTCGCGCAGGGCCATACTTGCACTGGGTTGCCATTCGCCAGCCCACCAACATCAAGACACAGCTCGGGATTCGATGCCACATGTATCTGCCCAATCCGGCTCCCTTCTTCAGCTGTTCCTGCTTGTGTGGCTCCATATCTGAGGCAAATAGAACCTGGAGCTACTGCAGTTGCATCAATTCCTCCTGGTCTCGTCCAGATCAAGCATGCTCCGGTTGGCTTGAACTCAATGCCTTTACAGCCGGGTGACCCTACACAGAGTGCTTTGCACTTTGCCAATGTTCCTCCACGTAGATTTACCTCTCTGAAGTGCTCGGTAGAATTATCCCAGGGCTTGGCTCCTCTGCACGCTCGGTCTTTGCCACCATCTGCTGATGTAAATGGCTCATGTCGATAACAGAAAGAGCCTTCCTGAGCAACAGAAGAGCCGATGCCGAAAGATCTTGTCCATAACTCACAGCCGTGTAGGCTGTAGGAGACTCCTTTGCATCCAGGTCTAGCCAGGCACTGTGCCTGACAAGATCCGAGTGAACCAATCTCAGCAAGGAGAATGTAATTGTGCTCCCCTGAATCTTCCTCATTTGCTCCTCTGCATGCACGACCATGGCCACCATCTACTGCCTCAAATGCCACATAACGATAGCACTGAATACCAGAAACTTCCGCAGTTGCCTCAATGCCATCGTACCGAGTCCACACTTCGCACCCATAGTGGCTGTATTCAACGCCTTTACAACCGGGTGTGATAGTACAAATCGCTTTGCAGGCATCCAACGTTGGGGCCATGTCCAGTGCGTACCATGAATAGTGGCTGGAATTGAAGTCATTTCTGTCTACTCCTCGACATGCGCGGTCCAGGCCTCCATCTGCTGGCAAAAAGCCATCCAGTACTTCAGATGGATCCCATGAGCCATATCGCATACAGATTGAGCCAACTGATGATGCAGAGCTGCCAATGCCCCTGTCCTTGCACAAACATTTGCAGGTTCAAACTGTCAAATTGCTTCCCTTCCTATTGGACATGGTATGACGTGATATAAACCTGTTACAGCTGAGGCCTGCCATCTATCCTCCCTTTCTTCATGTATAATATGTATATATACTGTATATATATATAATCATGGTACTGGCTGGTCCAAAACAGGTTGAATTTCACTCCGCAGCATATGAAGCCCAGATGCCCTTGTCCAAAGTTCACATCTGCCATCTCGGCTGTATTCAATCCCGTTGCAGCCAACAGTGCCCATGCAAAGTTGCTGACACTCCTCCAGTTGTTGACAAATTTTCATAGTGGAATCCAAACTTCACAGCGATGGTGAACCGGCATAACATGACGAAAAAACAATTGGAATCAGCCGCATGCACCATGCAAATAGAGAAAACCATTCATAGAACATGAACGAAGGGGGGAAGCTCTTGATGCTTGAAACCGGCCACTAGAAGTACCGTACATGTGAAAGCCTTCAACTGTACAGCCCTCCTGCACTGAACTGGTTGAGGTCAATGTGTAGTAGCCTTGCAATGGAAACCAATGGTGCTTCTTTGTCCACCAATTGCAAACCGAGTTTGTACAAAATCAAAAACATACGACCCTTTTGCAGAACAAAAACATGAAGTTTCATTTGGCAAAATACGAGGAAGTTTCATATTGCCAAACTACTTGGCCAGTCATCGAATGGATCTGCTCCACGACAGGCTCGATCAATTCCACCCTCCACATTGAGAAATGGCTCATAGCCTAGGCTATGAACTTGCAGTGCTACATAGTTCTAGACAGTCCTGCATAGATTCGGAATGAGCACGCTTTACCGATTTTACTTTTTGTTATCTTCCTCGGTTATCCACAAGATTCCATTCGTCATACTATCTACAGTAAATGTTGGTTTTGAATCTTGAACATGTGGTTCCAGCATCGCAAAGATTTTCTCCTGCTTGGCCATATCCACATACAAACCTGTAAATGGATACAATACGTGTAAAATTGTGCTATATTGTATACGGCACATCATATGTATGTATGTGTAAAAATATTATAGTTCAACAAGCCCGCAATAGACACGCAATTTCACACAATCTACTTGCCAAATGCCCAGGATGAAAAAGGATAGATTAGGATGAACTAGTGCCACCTATAGTTCCTCGAAAGTCCGTCATACTGCCCTGATAGCATGCTCAGTGGCGAAGACATTGCAATCCGAGCGCAGGAGCCTTGGTCTAAGTCTAATTGGCGAAATGCAAACAGCACAAGACACCAAGGGAACCAAAACACACTTGTTCAACATCGTTCAATTATGTGCGTGTGTGGTTTACACACAGCAAACAAACACGGCCCTGATACTTGTCAAGAACCACACATACGGCGTGCTACTAGTAATTACTTCCCATTTAGATCCTTTCAAAATTGCAGCAACATAAAGCAACATAAAGGGTGATTTGGCCATGAATTCCTGTCTGATCGCTGGTCCTCGGCACTGGGCTTTTCCCAACCCAAAAATGAAAGAGTAGTGGTACGCAGTACTTGACCCTTCAAGACCCTCCAATCAAAATCAACATACAGTTTTTGCATGTTTTTGCATCGTATTGAATCTCTGCCCGACTGTACATGGACCACATAAATTTCCACATGAATGATCATGAATGTATAACTGCGTTCCATGTCAAAAACCTTTTCGCCCTGGCAGCAGTCGCAAACAAGCACTGAAAAGAAAGGAGCGCTGGTTTGGACAAAGTGCGAAAGGAAGAAAGTTTTGAGGACTACAACGGATTAGACCACGCGAGCATAGAAATATCAAGGAATACCGGAATAATCCAAAATTCTACTCTAAATCTCGCCATCATTGAGGCTGTCCTATGCAGTCATTCTTTGAACAGGAAGGCGTTGGCAATTCGGTATTAATCTTCTTTGAAGTTGGCGCCAAAATGGGGTCCTACCTTCAGCCATGCTTTACAGCAATAATTCCAAACGGCTCTGTCTTGGATTTCAGAAAAAGTGATGTGCTTGATCAGACTTTGTACTACAACAAGGTTGAGCACATATCATGATCGACCGCATACATACTCAAGAAACACTCTCAAATGCTACTCTCACTTATGACAAGTTGTGACTATACTAACGCCGTACTTAGGTCACATCAGCCGGGACACAACATCCCCATGGCACAGCAGGAGCACAGCAAGAGGCAGCAGGAGGCAGCAGCAGGCAAGCAGCACGCAAATGATACGTCTATCCTGTAGTACAAGCACCGAAAATCGTTGCAATACAAAAAATGATCTTTTTCCAGGTGCGCAGCTCCAAAACAATTGAAAAATACAATTGAAAATCGCGGTGATACCAAAATTGAACCTTTTCCAGGCGCAATATGACTTTTCACGAGCTGATACGACTTAACCCTAGCGTTTGTAGCCGGTACAGTTTGGAAGGACACAAACACAGGCCTGCGCATGGAGCAACAAGATGCAACAAGCATATTTATTATGTATATATATATAATATATATATATATACATATATATATGGTTGTTGATCAAAATTCCTTTATCCCGGAACGGCCATTCTTCGCGAATAACAATTTTACTTTCGCGAAACTTTTGCGAACTCCATGTTTATCTTTCGCGGGGCCCATGTTGGCCAACAACACCTCTTATGAAGATTCGTTCACCACCTGCCAAATTACGCCAGAGAATCACAGATCACTTCTTGGTAGCCTTTTTAACATGCACTAGCATCACGGAATCCCTTCTCAGGACAGATTTTTTTTGCAAAGTTTCCTGGCCCACCCCCTTCAACATGCACTTTGACTTTCGCCCGCTCTTTCGCATAACTTTCGCGGAACTTTCGCGAAAATATCCCTATTCACAGACCCCGGCCATCAGCAGGGGGTGCACTGAAGGAAAAGCGAAGACCAGGGGCCTTGGTGTTTGGCTCTCGCAAAGCCTCACTTTTGGAAACTTGGCTACTGCTACTCGCATTGTCTGGTGCCCTTCTCCTGCCGGACCCCGGGCGGCAGTGGGTGGCAGCCCTTTACATATAATGATTATAATACCAAACTTTCGCGGAATAAAATTTTACTTTCGCGAACTCGAAAAAAAACTTTCGCGAGGGTTTCCAACATAACATGCACGGCTTTCGCAATTAAAACTCCTTACAAGGACCTTTAGATCGATCACCATATATATATATACCGTTCACACCGCTGCGGTGCCTTTTAGCCGGATCGTACCGGTACCAGTCCATTTGCGTTCTCCTTTGAGCGTACAGCGCAAGAAGGAAAGCTGCTTTTATGCTACCAGAAACTTTTGGGCAACAGATATTGAACCTTTTGTTACTTGTGCCTTACCAATCGAAAACCGAGGCTCTGTTGCGCCAATTCCGGCTGACCTCGTCCACACCTCGCAACGTCCGTTCAAGTACTCAATGCCCTTGCAGGATGAAGTTGTGGTGCACCTTGAGCCGCCAGGAATACCATCACAATCATCACAATGAAAGTTCACAAATTGATTAGGAACAGGCTTCACCAACGATTATCTGACAGATTCCTTTGGCTTCGATGCTGGTCCATTTCAAGTCATCTAATTTCAAGAATGCATCCCTGAGGTCTGAGGATCCAGGCAGGCGCTTGCAATCGAGTAACGTGCCTTGCTGGAAGAACTGTGTGAACATGCTTGCTTCTTTGAGAGAAAGCTGCTGAAATTTCGAGAAACAACATGCGACAAATTCAAACACAGCCATGTGACTGCAAGAGAAGACCTTGAAACAGCGAATGGCAATGGTCTATGGTCATCTGTGGTCATCTGTGGTCATGTGTGGTCATGTGTGGTCTTCAGTCCTCTCCCATTTGCGACGAGATTCCATCGAAAGAGCTGCTAGTCAGATAGGCAGTGAAATGCTCGCCATTATTATCATCAATGTTGGCCCCTCTGCAGGCTCTGTCATCCTGAGATTGACAAGGTCATGGACGGCAACCAGCAGTCAATGACCACTGCAAACACTGACAACTTACTGGAATAGTACGCAGTTCCCCCTCTCCAGTCCAGACGATGCGATACAGTACTTGCGGTATTCATTGATCTACTATGTATATACATACATACATACATACATACATACATACATATATACACACATACATACATATATATATATATATAATAATATACACACACACAAATAATACATGTAAAATTATGCGCATATAAATATATATACATATATACATATATATATACACATATATACATATATATATATATATACATATATATATACACATATATACACATATATACATATATATACATACACATATATATATACATATACATATATATACATATATATATATACGAGTTGCCGTCAAAATCAATTGTTGATGCTTGGTACGAAAATATAGGTTATCGTTTTTTTTTGGGCCCTATCGCTTTACAGTGTTTTGTTCACATCAACACAAAATAATGGAAAAATGCAGCGGAATTGGCTTCACGGATTCAGATCTTGAAATTGCTGGGAATGGATTAAGGGGCGCTCGTTGTCTTTGCGTTTGCAACCATGTTGGGGAGCTATCTAAGCACATTGCCAGACTCTTTCAATGGTTCCGAACGGTTATAAGATCACTAATTCTAATTCTATGAAAAAGAAAAAGGGCCACCTCGCAATTGTCCCTCTTTGATAAGCCATGGCGTCAGAAAACGCCGCACTTCCCCGCCCAAAAGCTCTAGAAGTTGAAGATGGGACCCAAAACAACCTAATGGCCTGGGGTCGAGAACCTTTTCGTTTTTTTGTTGAGTGCTTCTTGTTGGGATCAAATGAGTCTATCCCTCATCCGGGGTTCTTTTTTCAACAACAAATTATCGCTAAGGTTATCGCTAAATTAGAACACCTTGATCATTGATGATCAAGAAAGGAAAAGAAAAAGGAACGTGGAACCAAAAGGGCAACTGAACAAATAAAAGGAAAAAGGAAAGAAAAAACGAGAAAAGGACACGAAGGAAGAAAGGACAAATCAAACAAAAGGGAAATATCGTAATATAGATGAAATGCAGAATTGGATTCAAAATCAGTTTTGATTTACTTCAGAATTCCAAAGAAAATAAAGGAAAATGGAAGGAACGACAGAGAAAAGGAAACAAAGGAATACGAAATTCAAATTAAAGTAAAGCATAGTCAAGCACAAAAACGGAATTCAGAAATAGATTTAAAACGATGTTTCAATTTAATTCAGAATTCGGTTGCGTTGAGTTGAGTTCACTTCTACTGCTTTGGGACCTGGGAGAAAAAACAACTGCCTGCAGAAAGCAACGGTTCAATCAGCTTGGACAACAAGTGGCATGGCAACTGCAAGAAGCGTGGGCACTGCAGGTTGAATTTTCTTCATCAATTGTGCACATCGCGTGAAGGCACACAGCATTATTTGCTTGGTCTACACCAAGTTTAATGCGCTCTCATATGGTTACAAATTATCTTTTTTTGGGGAGGCCCTATCGCTTTACATGGTTTGGTACACTTTCTCATCACAACTGGACCCTCCCTTACTAAAGTAGTCTACGCTTATTTTGACCGCATTTCATATATATATATGTATATATATATATGTGTATATGTATATATATATGTGTATATGTATATGTATATGTAAATGTATATGTATATGTATACATAAACACACGCACACACACACATATATATATATAACACACACACACATATATATATATATATTCTGGAAAGATCCCAGATTGGTAGGGAGTTGGATTGTCCTGAAGATTCCCTGATCTCACCAAGTTGTAAATGATCCCTGATCACCAAATTGTAGATGGATGTTGAGTCATGTTGAGTTCCCTGATATCAACTGTAGATACACCAATCCTGTCCTCAGGAAACACTCGCAGCACTGTTTTGCTATGGCAACAAAGCAATGAAATCCCGCCCGCCACGTGGCTCGCCTGGGCCCCGCATTGACTGCGGAGCACCATGCACTCATCCCAGCTGGAACGTGTGATCTCGAACTGGCACTTGGGAAAATGATAGATTTCAGATTCCCTGTAATGTAAAAAGTTCGAGATACAAGCCAGTGCTGGAAGCATATCAGTCAGATTAACAAGCAACTCCTCCAGATGACGACTTGGCTTTTCCTCCAGTGGAGTCTCCCTCACTGGAATCCGGTGACATGTTCTTCAGCCACTGCAACCGGGTGCGAGAGTCTGATCTGGCACGGAGGATTTGTTCTTCATCATGCAAGCTGTAACGGCCACGACGGAGACACTCCCTGAGTATGCTCCCATCCATGACTTTGGGAAGAGCATCGGCTAACTGAGCCTGAGATGGTACCCGCCGAATGCTAACCCCTGTATCCAGATGTTCCTTGATGAGCTTAGCTTGTAGAAGTGTGCGAAATTCACTTCAGCTAGGAGGTGCATGTCTACTGATGAGATCAAAAAGTGATTTGCAATCCGTAGTGATAATGGCTTGAGAGGTTTGTGGAAGTTTAGATAATGACTGTTGTACGGAAAGTGGAGGTTGTGATGAACTTGAATCTTCACTTGATGGTATGGCAGCAAATGCAGGAGGTAATCTAAGTAGGGTTTCATCAGCCATCTGCCACTTGCAATTGCCATCAAGAATCCATGCCCAGTACAGTCTGATCCATGACAAAACATCAACAGCACCTGCTAATGACATGGCTTCGGCAGACAATGTACTAACAACAACCTTTTGGATCTTTTTCGAATGCCATACTATTGGATTGACTGCACAATTTTTGGTTGGCGGCTATATTCTTATGGCTGGCCATGATCAGCATTCCTTGATGTGAGTCCGGAACTTTTACCGATGCAAATGAGGCATCGGAGAAAGCAACAAAGCGCAGGTCTTCCAGTGGTATGGGCTGAATTTTAATCTTGACATCGGCAAACATCTTGGCTTCGTGGAGTATTTTGTTTCCTTCAGTCAACGTTGACACCAGGCTTTGTTGATTTGGGATTGCAACCATCCGAGCCGAGAACACAAGTCTGGGCGTGTGTGATCGGCAGCATATTGGAGTGATCCTATGAGAGCTCTCAGCGACTGTCTTTCACCCTCAGTGACAGGCTGATGTGGTTTCATCTTTCTTTCCTTGGCGATTTGAATTGGAGCTATGTCTTTGATATACTGTTCCTGGCTAACCCAAATGGACTGATCCTCTTGTTGTATGATTTTGAGTCCAGTGAACGTAAAATCACGATGCTTTTTACTTCCAAAAGGGAATTTCTTCTCCAGCAAGGCTAGTTTTTTGTGAAAGACTTCAGAACCACAGCATAGACCATCACCTACATGAACTCCAAGGATCCCTTCGGCCTTCTGATCTTTGCCTCGAAGAATAAAAAATCATGGGTCAAATGGCGATGAGGTGAATCCCAATTCTTCCAAGCTCTGTCTTAACTCTTGAAACCACAAAAATGGTGCATCAACTCGTCCATAAGCCACCTTTAAAAGACGAACAATTTCGTCAGGCTTGAGTTTCATCTTTTGTCTCATTTCCTCTGGAGGCTCCATCCCTAAAAGTCGTTGATTGCGTTCAGACCCCCTCAAGAAAGCTGTGCGAATGTCAAAACATGTCAAAACTATGAATGTCCTATTTCAAACTTGCAGCATACTGGAGAATGAGAACTCTTGAAAGTTTGGACAACGTCGGGCTATCTCTTGGGATTTGGTCTATGAGGGGATCCTCAAAACCCAACACAACGAGACGGGCTTTGGCCTTTCTCTGCAAAGCCTGGGACTTTCGGTTATTGTCGGTGGTGTTTTCTTCCACAGGCTTCCAAGTGGGTATCCATCGGCGACGCAGGATCTGATCTCTTGGCACTTGATTGCGTAAAACTTTGGTTGCTGTTTCAGTGGATAACAAGCTTTCGATTTCTTTAGTCTCGGCTTCTTCAAAGAGCTTTCAAGTGTGAGATTTTAACTTCACTTCTCTGGCGCTTGGCTGCCGAGACGAGAAACGCCATCTCTTGCGGTCGAGGCTCTTCTTTCCAGTGCTCAATGTCCTTTTGGGTGACATCAACTTCAAACCGGAAGGCCTTTTCAGAAGTCATGTTATATAGCAATTCTTCTTCAACATACAAACCTGTTTCTTCAGTTTCACTGGTATCTTCATCCGAAGTTTCAGAAACAGGAATCTCTATGTGATTCGGTTCTTCTCGAGTATTTGATTGAGATTCATCTGAAGGTTGACTTGCTGGGATCGATTGGACTTCTGGTTCACCATCTGGTTGATCTGATCCTCCAGTAGAATTTGACTGAACAGTTTGTCGAGTTTGGTCACCATGGTTGGGACGTCCGGCACTGTCAATCACTTCTGCTTCTGTGACATTGGGACTGGCTGTCATGGATGTCACATCATTCCGTTGGCCAGCAGCAGGGGATGGTGGAATCATGTCAGTAAATTGCACCCCTCCATGACTGGAAATGATTGAACTTGTAGTGGATCTGGTCGTATTTTCAGGGTTCACATTTTGTCGGAATTCCTCAAAGGCAGACAATCCTCGCAAGTGTTCAGGAGCTACTCTATATAGTTTATGGTTACGGGACACCCAAACTACATTTTGGTCTTCTTGAATGATTACTTGCATAGGACCTACCGTATCCAATTTCCTTCTGCTTCCCTTTTCTTCTTCCATAGCATCACCCATTCCCCCTTTTCATAGAAACCCCGATGTGGACGACTCCTATGGACAATTGCACGGCGCAATGTTTGGTCATTGTCCACCATCGCAAAAGCTTTGCGAGCAGCTTCACGAATTGACAGTTCTTGTCGGAATCGGGCTCCATCAGGCATATTGGACAGGGCAGTGGCATGTGCAGCTATGGTGGGGTCTGAGGTGATGGATCCAGGAATCCTAACCCCTTTTCCAAAGACTAACATCTCTGGGGGATATCCTCTGTGTCTGCTCCATTGATTTT